ACTCCCTTCCCAGCGGCGGAGAACGCCAGCTTCAAGCTCTTCTTCAGCTTCGACATGTCGTTTCCGTGGCAGGCTAGCGACATGTTAGTGATAATGTTCGTTGGCATGGTGTCTGTTTGTGAATCCCGGATGGCAGGGTATCCCTGGTCGCTGCTCATGACAACGGCGGTGTCCTTGTCTCGACGTTCTCCGGCGAAGGCAACGGAGATGCATTTTGGGCGGGTGTCAAGAGTTCACTTGCCAACGAAGGAATCAAAATTACGCTCGCCCCTGCGTTCATCAGCTTCCGGGACCCATCACAGGCCAACACTCTGCTCTCCAACTTCCCGTCGATCGATGGATTTTTCAACTGGTGGTCCTGGTATGTACTATTGAATTATATTCCCATTCAAACGGCGGAAATCATACGCGCAGGCCAAACGACGTCGATACAACTCTCACCACGGACACGGATATCGCGTACATGAACGCCGCACACACTCGCGGTGGCCCTTATATTGTGTGTACGTTCTCTATACACTTATTTGTGTCGCTTCCTGACTTTTCTTACTTATAGCGGTATCGCCTTGGCAATTCAAGGACATCGACGCCAATAATGCCTAGGTCGAGCTCGGAGACACGTTATGGAACTACCGCTGGCTCCAAGCCATCCAGGACGTGAAGCCCGATATCATCGAGATAGGTGCGTCATCGCCTCGAATTCCCTTCCCGAAGTCCCTCACCGTGTGCTTTCAGTCACCTGGAACGACTACGGTTAGAATCTCTCCTTGCTCTCTGTGTCACCTATTTATTCGTTGCGCCAGCCGAATCACACTATATCGGGGACATCAATCCCAACGTCGACCTCGGGTTTGTGATATTCCTGCGCTTCCCAGAATGAACGGTCATTTGACTTGAACTGAACTGGATAGCACCACGGCACCAAACTAAGTCAATGGATTCCCGCACGCAGCTTGGCGCATCATCGCACAGTATTTTATTTCCTGGTATAAGACTGGGACGGCCCCAGCAGTCACGGTGGGTCCAAATCGTGCGCCGCCAGAATGATGTCGTAGTTTTCTGGTACCGTGCGCACCCCAAATCCGTGTCCTCCAGCGGCGGATGGCTGCCTCGCATGTCGACCTTCCCCGCGGACGCCGTCTTCGCTATGTCCTTGCTCAGCTCCCCTGCCACCATCTCCCTCGACATCGGGTCCACCCACGCGCAGTTCACCGGTGGGGTCGGCGCGACGATCGGCTCGGTGAACTTCCAGGTCGAGGACTCGCAGATTCCGTTCATCCAGATCATCCGCAATGGGCAGACGACAAAGTCGGGCTTTGGTTCGGTGTTCGTTACGCAGAGCTGTTCATGGTACAATTTCACCCCGTTTGTCGGGGTTATTCAATAAATAGGGATGCCAACACCATCCTGTTCATAATCGGTTTGCAAACGTGACACGTTGAGCAGGGAGCTTCTTGGAAATAGTTCAGCAGAGTGTGCCTGTTCGACTCTGGCCGGAGCCACTGAAGTCGTTTTTTGTCTTGCTTTTTTTGGGGAGCTCAGCCGCCTGTAATTATGAATTATGTATACATGGAATTCGACGTGGCCAATGGAGGGGTAGGAAGGCTGCAGGATTGTACGTAGTATGATACACCCCTGAAGAACACAACGAAGGCTCCGTCGCGGGGTGGTCCGCTTCTGTTAGACATGTTACCACCTTATTGGACCCCAATACAGACTACGCCTTTTCGACTCACGCCGCAGCCATTAGTATGCTTCAACAGTCCATCTTACTCTAGTTTGTCCTGCCCCAAACTTGAAGTCAGAGAGTCGCGTTACGAGACGCGTCGCGTCGCTGCGGTACGCGAGACCACACAACCGGCAGCTTCGGGGCAAAAAAGATGTAATACTCGAGTTCGATTAGTGAGCGCCACGAAATGCCAGGATAATTAGTACCTGTCCGGGATGTGGAGGATGTGAAGTGCAAATGCTGCTCAAGCTTTTGGGTTTTTTTTGCATGGCATTCTTGAAATCAGTCATTATCGGATATGATAACCTCAGAAAGAGGGACAAAGGCTCCGTCGCGGGGTAGCCCGTGTCTGCAACAGTTATTGGAGAGAAGAGTGAAATTGTGCAGAGTGTGCCTGCTCGCCCCAGGCCGGAGGCATTTGACAGTCCGTGCGATTTTTTTAATATTCTGCAATGTGGGCAAAGGGATGTTGCCGTAGCATTGCCGCTGCCGCACGCTGCGGCAGCTTCTGCAGCAGCTTGCGGCACTCAACTTTTCGGCACTTGTTGAAGGTACCTTAAATGTTCCACTCGACCCTCACCTGCCCTAGGCCTCCCATAGTCCGGACTTCACTTTCCTTCTTTCTCTTTAGCTCTATTTCACCAACCTCGCTCAAAAATTCAACACATCACAGACCCAAGCAGGGAGGGAGAGGCTGGTTCGCCCGCGGTGCGCATCTAGGTTAATTAAACGTAGAATTCGATGTCGCTGTAGACCCGAGCTATGGTTCCTCTACTCCCTATTTTTGCACACACACTCTCGGTGTGGGCATCGACATCCATACGATGAAATACTTGATCCACCAGAGTGGTAAGAGGTTTGGAAACTTTCGGGACCCCGCGTTCAATAGCGAATGGCAGTGCACAGATCTCGTTTGGGCCCCATAAAGTTTTCTCCCTCAAAATTCAAAACCGAAACGAGAAGTAGAGATCGGAAGATGTGCGGATGGAGCGTGTACATAGAGCGCCGTTGGCTCCGGCGCAACTATCTGCAGCGGAGAAATAGGCCTGCCGAGCACTTGCCGTTCGCTACACCAGTCAACGGTCATATCAGCATACCTACGCCGCTGTTCGGGACCTACCGGCATCACATTTCGCCGGCTGCCCAGTAATATACGCGGCAGTGGAAACGCCCGTGATCGGCGCTGGCCGGCACCGCTCGGCATCGGCAACCACTGGTCACCTGCCCGCTCCTGGTGGACCTTGGTGGACTCCGATGGCCAAACACTTCCGTAACTGGCCTCCATTGGAGTTTGCTGTTCAGTGGAGTCAGAATGACCAAAAGCGCCATCAATATCGCTTGAGGGCCAACAATCTCCAGTGAACAGTGGTGCCTTTCACTGGAGCCCAACCTCTGCCAGCCACAACTGGAGTATGATGGAAGCCATTGCATGCTGGCTCGAGTCATCACAATCCAATGGACCAGGTGAGAGCTCACCCACCACTGGATTTGACTGTAATGCAATGGAGTGCAATGTATTTCATTGCGCTTACAATAGGCCCAGAAGACCACTGGAGTCCATCGGTTGTCATTGGGTGCCAATGGAGTGTCGCAGACTTCCAGACAATGCTGCTGGCAATATCTCTAGCATCTCCCTCCCACAATTTATTATACCTAGCCTGAACCCACGCTACGCAGCGGACACCACCATCCAAATTTTATGTTTGGAGTTGATCATTCAAGTTCCACCACGGTATTCTGGCCTCCCATCAACACCGAATGGTGCATAAGAATTATCTGAGCTTCATTAGGTTTAACAATCCTCAGAATTATTTCCAACGTAGGTTCCTCTTTCTAATTTTGTCCCATAAAGGGCACAGTATCCGATGTCAAGTTGCGCCTGTTTGGATCGATCACTCGACTGCACCAAGAGTATTTGGCCTTATCCCTGCGCCAAGTCTGATGCAAAACAAGTCAAGCGGCCAATTGGATGGCTCTTGATATTCTGTAGCTAAATTGAACCAATCATAAGTTAATAGGCATTGACTGCGATACTTCGGACATTTCTAAGGAACTAATGGACTACTGCCCTGTCTACTGTCCCGTGGCCTCTGCCCAAAATTCGTCCGATAACCCCAAGTCCTTCTTCTCTACTTGCTCCTCAACCCACTCACCATATATCATCATCAGAACATGAATGAAAAAATCGTAATTCACGTCTGACATCTGCCGTAACTGTGATTCAAAACCAGAGAGCCACGAATTCAACTGTTCTGCCGTTTCAGTGTAGGACAGGCTTCGTGTGGTCGAAAGCAAGTCCCATGGCTGCGGCGATGGCCTGAAGCTCGGGCTTATGCTTGTTCCTAAGTGTGCGGTTGGTATAGGGAGTTGAGGTGGACATCGCGCAAAGTGGGGAATTCGTAATCTCGGCTCCAGATGTTCGACGAAGGGACAATGCCATTGTGACAGAGAAAACATATAAGTTGGCAACCGTGCGGTGGCCATATGGATGGATAACTTATCGTGAATATCCCCGTGAATCCATATGGATCTGAAACAGGCACACTGCCCTGCAGTGGACTTCAGTGGGATGTAGTGGAGGACAGTGGAAATCAGTGTGAGCCAAGGCCGACAAAGCCGACAAAGTCCGGTGGAGATCACCGGAAATCAGTACCTGGTTTTGCCGAATCCTGGGAGCCATCGCCGGACAATGTCGCGTGATATCAACCAGTGTCCAACGGTGTCCACTGGTGGCCACCAATGGACTTTCCACCGGCGGGTTTATAGCTCCGGCTGCCGCACTGCACGGCTCACCACAACACTTTCTACTTCTACCGTGGAAATTACCTGTACTCCCGTTGAGCGCCTGTTGGCTTCCCTTGGCGGCTTATAGTCATTGCACGAAACACTCACAGTTGTTGGACAAGGATGGCGAGCAAAGTCCTCTACAGGTCATCGAGCATAGAACCCGTAAATGTTTGGCAAGCTCAGATGTTTAGCGGTGAGATTATTCACTTGAACCGAGCGGAAGCTATCCTTTAGAATACCGCACACTCGATTGAATTTCAGCATATACGGCACTGCCCGTGATTGAAATGGGAATTATATATAATAATGTAAGTAGCCTTGCCTCGGCGCACATCTCAGATTGCAATCATTTCCACGATGGACATATATGGATGGCCGTTCATGTGCACTTTAATTTTCGCATGCACAACTACAGAAGCTCGGCATCGCGCGCCTCCGCCACCCTAGATCCCCCTGAGCCAACAAAAACCACCGTCCAGCAGCATGGCCCGAGCCCGAGTCGAACGGGCGTATCCTACTGCAATATTCGAATTATATACAGCGCAGGCGCGGACCGTCCGCCACCGAGCCGTGAGTGTACCAGTGCTTGAAACAACAATCTACTCGAGGTCGAGCTAATATTGTCATAGATAGCTTCCGCGCCAACTTCAAGGATTGCATTAATTGTAGCTCATACAGCTATTTCCCCGTGGTTCGAGCGATAATGCATCGATGGTTCGCGCCGAAGATGTTTATTACCTCGGATGCCATTGTTGCCGACTCTACGGCCAATGAAAGAGGCTAGTGAGTCTTTGGTGAATCATGACCACGTCTGTACGTTGCACAATGCGTACTTGAAGTCATCTCAGGCACCGGTGAGTGAACTTGCCTCGAAGTAGGCTGAGAACATGCATATGATCAACTGTCATGATCAAACTTACATGTATTCTTAGAGCAAATGAATACTTCCTGCAATCGTACCGTCGTACATCAACACGAGGTGGCCAGTGAGATTAATCAGAACTAAGTTGAGAACATGATTAACTGTCAGTGGTGATGAAATCCTGCCTTCCTTCTGTTCAACAGATTCCGCTCACAGCGTGTTCCTGAGTTGCTGACTGCCCAGGTGACGGATGACGACTTTTCTGAGCATCAGAATGAGTACTAGTGAGGTGTATAAATAAATAGACAGAGTGAGACAGAAAGATCATCACCGCAATTCAAAAGGAAGATGAAAATAATCTCCAGATGAGGGTCGAGAAGTATAAGTACGAAAATGGCGGAAGCGTGTTTGGAATTATGATGGTTCTTTTGTACAAAAAATAGATCGGCGCGCGCGAAAGAGGAGGACCAGCGCGCGCGAAAGAGCGATGATTCAGTAATTAATAGGTACTGCAAATTTGGACAAAGAGCATCTTTACAACTCCATCAGCTCTCCTGGTGTGTCCTCGGGTACTAGTGCCCTCCACCTAAGCCTCCTGGACCACCCACGATATATTATGTAAACGGTCTCGACCTGGAGTCGACCATCACTGCTTTCCTCGGAGGATAGCTGAGTTTCTTAGATATAATTGCAACAAATATTACCCCATGTCTCCGTGTCCAGACAGGTTCAGGACATTGGGTTGTAAACATCGGGATGCTGTCTCAGATAAGATAAGATGTCTTGGATTAGATTAGATTAGATTGTGAGGTTTTCCCCAAAGTTCACATCGACTCCCTGCCAAAGGAGTCGGAAGGGTGCAGAGATAAAGGTTCCCTACTGGCTGATTCTACATAAATCCTGCTGTGCCAATGTCGAGCAGTAGGAAACCTAAGGTTTTGAACACATTTGGATCTATTATATGACATACCCAGGTTTGATATGAAGCAGAGGACTAACAGATATGACGCCATGTAGAAATCTGTATTTGTGGGTGAAGTACATGGAGGACTTGAGGAAACAATACTACTAAGTTAGTGTCCCACAGCCACTCGGCTCGCACTCGGCTTGATGACACCAACTGTCTGACTCACGTTTCTTTCGCGCGCAATCAACCTTCTTTTCGCGCGCACTGGGTTTCTTTCGCGCGCGCCGGGTTTCTTTCGCGCGCGCCGACCTCTTTCGCGCGGTTTTTTGTACAAACGAACCCTCATAGGAATGGTCCGTGGAGGTTTTTTTAAAATAAATTTGAACCATCTGTATTTGGGTGTTGCTCGTCGGGTGGACAGGGTAATATACACTCAAGGTTCAGGGATTCCCAGCTTACACGGGGTGAATTTCAACCAAAGAGCAGAGTCCAAGCGGGGTCCCAAGACCCCGCACACCGCAAGATCGCATCAAGATCACCAAAGTTTGAATTGCCGAGGCGAGTCGGCTCAGTTCGTCGACAAAAAACATCCGAGTCGGAGCGTGTGGGCGCCGCATGCAATCTCCCAATCAAATGCCGGGAGTTGGCGTGCCCCATATGTAAGTCCACGGGGCATGGAGCTCTTTGAATTCCTTGCGCGAGGTTCTCCCGAGCCTGATGTCAGTGACGCTATCGAGGACCAATGATAATAGGTGGGAAGGCCTGATGCAAATCCTGACAAATTTTGAAGATTTTGGCCGCCAGGCCTAGTCAAAATCCTGACAAAACCCATCCTTGAGGCGCGAAGGCCGGGTCAAAATCCTGACAAAACCGCGCGAGCGGAAGAATTTTTTTCAAAAAGGCCTATTTGGAGCCAAAAAAATAGGGCCTGCTGCGAAATCCTGACATTTTTGGCGACATTTTGACTCTAGGCCTGTTCAAATCCTGACAAAATCACCCAAATCAGTCCTGACATTTTGCCAAAATCAAAATCAGGCCTTCAGACCTATTATCATTGGTCCTCGCTATCGCCTCGCCCTCCGCCCACACCCACGTCAGTTCCACCCCCAGGCGCGGACGCCGGACGGACATCACCACTCCCAGGACTCGGCACATCGGCGGATAGGACGCCATCGTCGTCCTGCGCACGCTCTTTTTTAGTTTCCTTGGACTTGGACTTGATGGACGGACGCCTGCGACGGCTGTAAGAACACTCGATATCGACATCGCATGGCCATCTCGCCCGCATACGCACCCCAGACCGACCTCCCGCTCGAGCGCTCGACCCTCAACGGGCCCCTCCTCTCCAGCGTCGGATATGGTGCGTGTACCCCTCAGCCCGCTCTGACCGACTTTGACATTCGACTGTGGGGTCTGCAGGAATCCTCCTGACGCTCGCCGTGCAGACGCTCCTGCGCCTCCTGCAGCGCCCACGCGCGCAAATCGCCTGGCAACTCGTCGTTACCGTCGTTGCGCTGCTCGCGCTTGGCAGCGTCGCGGTCGCAGGGAACGCCAAGTTCTCGCAGATGACCTTCATCGACGACCGCGACTACCCCGGCGGGCCCAACGGCGTTGCCACCGCACTGTTCTCCCGCTGGGCGAACATGATGGCCTGGGTTTCGTGCGTCTCCCTACCCTCTACCCTTTCCCCTCCCGCTGACGCAGGCGCACAGGTATATCCTCATGGGCTGGCTGACGGACGTCTTCATGGTGCGTCTCCCCTGCATCCCTGCCTTGTACTTCAGCCGCTAACACACCCCCAGCTCTGGCGCTTCTCCGTATTCTGGGATACCCGCCCCTGGCTCGTCCTCCTCCCCGCGTCCATCTTTGGGGGCTCTGTCGGTGCGCCCTCCCCCCCTCGCGTATTCGTATGACCTGCTGAAAGACTGTTGTGTGGGCAGCCTCCTCCCTCGCTTTCCTCGCGGCCGCCTTCCACGCGGCGCTCGGCGTGGGGCCCGACACGCGCCTGGGCACGGCGTACTACGCCCTGTCCCTCGCCCTGCGCGCCTCCATCTCTCTCAGCATTGCCGCGCGCATCCTCACCTCTTCCCCCTCACCTCCTACCCTCCCCGCGGGCGGCTCGCGTTCCTTCCCCACCCCTTCCCTCACTGGCGCGCAGACGTCGCTCACGCCGCGCGCGCTCCTCATGAAGCCGTGCACGCTGCTCATCGAGTGTGCGGCGCTGCAGACGGTGTGGGGCGCCGCGTTTGTGGCGTGCTACGCGTGCGGCGCGCCCGCGCAGGCGCTCCTCCTTCCGCCGCTATGTCAAATACAGGTGTGTCTCCGCTTCTTTATTTCTTTGCGTCTCCTCGCCTCACCTCTCGGCTTCTCTCCTAACCCTCCCTATCGTCCTTGATTTTCTGCATACGAGCACATCTTCCTTCCCTCCCCACGCGCCCCTCCTCGTCGCTCATACCCCTGAGCTTCCACGACTGGTGTACTTTTCGTCCTTTTATCTCACTTCCCTTCCTCCTCCCTCCTATCCCTCTTCGTCTCACACATAACTAACACCTCGCGCAGGGCATCTCCGCGCTCCTCATCCTCCTCCGCATCGCGCAGGGCCGCGCGTGGGGCTCCCCCAATACCGGGCGAACGACTACCGGCGCCGGTGGAAGGACGGACACGGGCATGGGGCGCGGGACGGTGCTCGTAAGCGCGCGGCGCAGCAGGTTTGCGGGCGCTTTCGGTGTGGTGAGTGAAGGCACGTTTTCGGCGGTTAGTGAGGGCGGGAGGAGCGGCGCTTCGGTGTCGTCAGCGCAGGGGGAGGTTTCGCGAGTGGGGATGGAGGGAGAAGTGTGGGTGTGGTGCCGATACCCATCCGAGTGGAAGGAGAGCGCGAGAAGCGGACTAACAGGATAGTAGGATAGCTTTTCGTAGCCGGATAGGTGTTTTCGTTTACTGGATTTAACTTACTGTGTATTGTATTCCCATTCATCATCGTTTGCTCTAGCCTATAGACGAGGTTAGCGTCTCGAGGACTATATATCGTCACTCAGATATGCGGTTAATCGCGGAAGCGTATACAGCTGTAGCACGGATCCGGGGCGTTAGTATGATCCGGCACATGAGTTGTAGCATCGATATTACTGGTGTGCCTTTCTTTCGTTCCATAAGGACGTCCTATACGTGATCCTGATCCTGATATCGTCGAATCATTAATATTACCAGGCTCCCCACTTATCTCATGATCCTTCATTTGTTCGTTCGTAAGATCGCGGACCGTATATTACATTACCCCACGCGCAGCGTGTAACCTCGCGGTAAGGATCTCAGCCTTCGGCCTTGGCATTAATTATCCCGAGCGTACGTTGGTACTGCTTCCGAGCAAGCGCTGTGGGCGCATTGTGGGCGCGCGCGCCCGGGATCGGCGCTGGGGCGAGTGGGGATCCGTCGAGCACTGTCTTCTCTTGCGTATGAGCCGGTATAATCTCTTGCCCGACTTCACGGCGTAACTGAGGAGACGAATTTTGAATTTTGGGGCGCGTTGTGGGCCCGGGATCGACGGAGACGCTAGCGAGGGCTTCGCTCGGGTACGTATTGACAGACAGCGGACGAGCGAGGGGGCGTATGAATGAATGATGAATGAAGGGCAAGAGTAAGTAGGTGCCAACAAAAAGAGTACAGCGTAACATAATGTGCTTTGCGCGTCAAGCTTTGAGGTCCTCGCTCCTTCCCCGCTCCCCTCCCCGACGGACTCGACTTGATAGATAGGATAAATCATTCACGTAGGTCTCTCCTACAGGACGAAATTAAATTCGTGCA